TGAATCGTCTTGAGAGGCATGAGCGAGGAGGGTAGTGGGAGGTGAGGTCAGAGAGGAAAGGGAGAAGGTGGGGACCGTGGAGGGTCTTAGAGGAGAGTCGGGCAAGGCCAGGACAACACCCTGAATGAGACCCAGGTGGGAGAGGATCTGGTTTCCATTTTTACAGGATGGCCCTGGATCTTCCACTCAACATGTCAGGCCCCTCTTGGCTAGGGCTAAAGAGCTCTAAATAAAGGCAGGAAAAACTTCCTCCCAATCCCATCCCAGCCAGGGCACCCTCAGGCCCCATCTCCCCAGCCCTCCTGGGCTCTGGCTCCAGTGGCTTTCTCTCCTCCCTGGAGCCCAACAGCCACCCTCCCTTCTCCTCCTCCCTGGAGACACTCACTTCCAAGACAAATGGCAGCTTCTTCCTGCCCATCCATCACTGCTCTCGGGCCCATCCATTAGCGGCCGCTCCCCATCCTGCCCCCAGCCCCATCGTCCTTGCTTGGGGACGGGGTCCATTGATCAGAGGCTCATCTACCGCTTGTCACATTCTGGCGGCCCTGACAGCAGGAGACAGAGCTGTTGCTAGCCAGGCCAGCCTGGGGCCAAGGGAAAGACAAAACTGCCCACCCCCGGGGTTGGGGCTGGGGCAAAAGCCAACTGGGAGAAGGGGGAGTGAGTAGTTGGGATCAGGGTAAGCCCTTCCCAGCCAGAGGCTGCTTCTCCAGGAAAAAAAAAATGGAAAGTGAGTTCCACAAACAGGCTTGCAAGGCTCCCGAGCCCCCCTCCACGTCTGGGGCTGCTCCAACCTGGGCATCCAGGGCTGATGGGAACCCGACCTAAATGCTGAAGGCTCTCCCATCCTGACTCCAGCTCCTCCCAGACTTCTCCATGTGCCTCAAATCACCAGGCCAGGCCTAAACTGGGCACGTCCTCCCAACCTGACTCTCTTCTGAATTTTCCACCCCTTCCAGTAGCCCCCTGGTCCCTCTAGATCCACTCAAGGGCCTCCTCCCCTCGCCGAGTGGCTGGAGAGGATGAGCTAGGGACTGCCTGCCCTCTGGCTGCTGGCTGAAATAGCACTGACAGGAGACCCGAGGAGGGAGGATGAGGCTGAGGACTCATCCTCTGGCTCCTGCTCTGCAGGGTCCCAGTGGGTGACCATGGGTTTGCTGTGTCCCTCTACCCAAGGAGCTCTCTCCATACAACTCTCAATCTGGCCACTGGCAGCCACCTGTCCCTTGCCTCTTTGTCTGAAGATGGTAAAGGCTCCCTATAGCCGCTAGCTCAGGACACCACCCAATCCCTCGTGGCTCCCTCCCTCTGCCCACGAGTGTAAATGGTCCCTTCATTAAACTGCTCTCAATTACCCAGTTTTAAAGTATGCATCATTCGGTCAATAGAAAAAAGAACATGTGCGTTAGACCAGGACCAAGTAGCAGGGGGTGAGGGTGTGGGTGCCTGTCCTGGGGAGGCAGTGAGAGGCAGGGCTGGGTGTGGGCAGAGACCCAAGCCCCACACACACTCGACTGTAACACTAATTCAAACATAAAATCATGGAGAATTTCAAGACAGCAACCATGAAGCACGGGGCCCCTCCAAGCCTGCGGGGCTGCCCCGGCTGCACGCCCATGCAGCTGGCCCCATCTCCCACCTTTCTCTCCTTGTCTCTCCCAGCCACTCACCTCCTGGCCTCATCCCCTCATGCACTGAAGACTTGGACCCCTGCTCAGCCTCCTGCTCTCCCAAGGGCCAGCATCATCCCAAGGGAGTCGCCTTGCACCCAGACAACCCATCCATCACCCTGGCTGCCAAGCATGCCCCTACCTGCCCACCTCCAGGGACCTCCACCTCCACACATCCCAGCACTCCCTCCCATGGTCAAATCCCTACACAACCCAGCCTATCCCTGGGAAAGGATGCATTTTAGAAATCTCTTCTCAATATCAGCTAATATTTGCCTCCTGTGAGATCCTCAAATTATTCTCAGCAGGGCTCTCTAGGGCTCCAGGGAAGGGGTTGGCTCCCTCAGACACACGGCCCACAAAGGTCTGAAGATGCGACTGCAGAAGCAGAGGTTGGAATGATGTGCTTAGAAGATAGATGGAAGAGCATGGGCAAAGGAAGGCTCATGACCCTAAAACAGAGAAGGAAATAGATTCTTCTCTAGAGCCTCCAGAAGGAACACAGCCCTAGCACACCCTGATTTTGGCCCATAAGACCCACTTTGGAATCCTGACCTTCCGAACTGTAAGATGATATATTGGTGTTGTTTTAAGCTACTGAGTTTATTGTGATTTCGTTACAATGTTAGGAAGCTAATACAGATTTTGGTCTCCAGACACGTGCTCCAGACTAAGCTCAATCAATTTTTCTGTGTGGGAATGTGATCCCAGAGAAGTGTGACCTCTCCAGACTTCAGTTTCTCCTTTTTTTTTTTTTTTTTTTTTTGAGATAGAGTCTCACTCTGCTGCCCAGGCCGGAGTGCAGTGGCGCCATCTCCTCTCACTGCGACCACTGCCTCCCGGGCTCAAGCGATTCTCCTGCCTCAGCCTCCCTAGTAGCTAGGATTACAGGTGTGCACCACCTCACCTGGCTAATTTTTGCATTTTTAGTGGAGACGAGGTTTCACCATGTTGGCCAGGATGGTCTCAAACTCCTGGCCTCAGGTGATGCACCTGTCTCAGCCTCGCAGAGCGCTGGGATTACCAGCCACCACGCCCGACCAACTCCTTCATTTTTTAACTTGGAGATGCGGAGATGTTGTGAGGATTAAAGAAATCAATAGATGTAAAGTGGTTAGCATGTTACGCAAAGCACTAAAAATATTAAACACTCAAGAACTGCTAGAAGATATTATTATTGTTGTTGTTTGATGTTTTCTATAGCACCCTGGTTTTCAACCAAGAGGAATTCTGCCCCTGGGGAGGGATTTTTGGCAACATCTGGGGATGTTTTTGGTTAACATAGCTGCAAGGGAGGGGCGCGACTAGTGAGGAGAGGCTACGGATGCTACTAAATATCCTACCATGCACAAAACTACTCCCCCAATAAAGAAATATTTTGCCAAAATGTCAACAGAGCAGAGTGAGAAACCCTGCTGGGCTTGGAATAATTTAAGTCTACCCATTTTAAGCCTGTCTCCTACTGCTGCAACTCAAGTTACCACCACAAGGTGGCGATTCAGCCAGTGCCTCTCTTTCCTGTACTGGTGGATACTTCCCGCCCTAGATTCACAAATTATTCTCCATTATCCCTTTCTATCAAAAGCTGTGCCTTGTAAAGTAGCAAACCACGTTCGAAGGGCTAATATGGATCTGACTCTCTATACAGCATATAACAAAGCAAATCCATCCACATCTTCTCCTTTGTTCCTCAAAACATTCTTAGGCACAGGTGTTGTTATTTCCATTTAACAGAGAGGGAAATGGGCTTACAGAAGCCACTCTCTCAAACCAAATGCCTCCTTAGTGGTTGTTGGCTGGGACCCTCCAGGCTTGGAGTTCTGGCTCCACTTGAATTCGAACCCTGATTTCATAAGTTCAGAGTCCAGAACATTCCCTGCATTTGGGGAAGGTCCCACACTGCGTCACACTGGCTTCTCTCTGCTTTGCACGTTGCATTCACCTGCCTGGAATGCAGGACGCTCATCACCTGAACCCAAGGGTTCCCAAAGATGCCTGCATGCTGAAATCTTCAGGAGAACTTCAGAAAGTTCTGGGGCCTGTGTCCTACCCTGAGATTTTGAGCTAATTTGGAGTTTTGTAAGAACGTGCAAGAAATTTGAATCTGCAAATGAGCCTGGGAACCACTAATGCCTTCACTAGCATCCTTTAAAATAAAATAAATGTTTGAAAATACCATTATTTTCAAACATTTCAGTATTTAACTTTCTGAAGACTTAAGCGGAAGGAGCAGGAGGACTTCCTCCACCTGTTACCCAGCAGCGTGTGGCTGTTTCCACCTTCCATCTTCTCCCTAAGGCAAGCAGAGCCCCATCTCTGCCTTGTCTTTACAGAAGAATTCATCCCACTTTCAGCCCCTGCTGTGACTCAGGCTAGCTTGCCAAGAACTTTTCTTTGGCATAAAAATTTCATTCTCTTACTGAAAAGAATTCTGACAAGTCAAATGTCTTTACTTGGTCACAATTCTGTATAAAGTAAAACACTGCCCGGAGCAGGGGTCCTCAAACTTGGCTGCACTAATGTCCACTTTAAAAAATAAAAACTATGACCAGGCCACACCCCAGACCAATTATATCAGAATTTCTAGGTAGTTAAAGCTCCCAGGTGATTCCAATGTGCAGCCGGGCTGCGGAACGAGGCCCTTGCTTCCTTACGTGTGACCCCATAAAGTAGCCAATGCTATCAGCATCACCTGAGTGCTGGTGAAAACAGCCAAATCTAAGCCAAAACCCAGACCGACCGCATCAGAATCTACATTTTAACAAGATCCCAAGTGATTTCCTGTGCATGTTAGAGTTCCCAAAGCATCAATCTAGAACCAAAAATAAGCCAGTGTCAGCTGGGTGCAGTGGATCACACCTGTAATCCCAGTACTTTGGGAGGCCGAGGCAGGTGGATCACCTGAGGTCAGGAGTTTAAGACCAGCAAGGAGGGTCCCAGCCAACAACCGTTAAGGAGATACGTCGTTTTGAGAGAATGGCTTCTGTAAGCCTGTTTCCTTCTATGTTAAATGGGAATAATGACACCTGTGCCTAAGAATGTTTTGAGGATAAAAGCAGGCCGAGGCAGGACCACCATTTGAACCCAGGAGTTTGAAGCTGCAGTGAGCTGGGATAGCATCACTGCACTCCATCCTGGGCAACGGAGCGAGACCATCACAAAAAAACAACAACATAACAAAATACAAAACAATAAGGCAAGCTACGATGGGTGGGTAGAAAGAACCAGTAAGACTCGTTAAGATTTTCAAGGGGTTGACGGAATATCCGTTACATTTTTAAACAAAGTTAAACGCGAAAAGGATGGCTCTCCAGAGCCTGTATTTCCTACCTGAGGTAGCAAGGAAATAGCTGGGCATGTACTTACTCATTTATCTCCAAAGAGTGGGGCAGAAATGCGGGTTAAAAACTCCATGGAAGGCCGTCTGCTCTTCTCCTCCCATAAACCTCACGTCTACGGGCCTCAGGTCAAAAGCACCTGAAAGCTCTGATTAGGAAAGGGCTGGACGCTCCCAGGGATCTGCAGCCGGGCAGCTGTACTGCACAGCAGGGTGTCGCTCCCAGCAAGTCCTGCGAACCGTGCCCTGGACACAGACAAGAGCGTCCTCGGAAGAGGCGGGTAGAAAGCAAAACAGCAGACACCTTCTCCACAGGGCGGCAGGACGGCGCAAGCGCAATAGGGGAAATGTCAGACACTTATAAAACCATCAGATCTCGTGAGACTCACTCACTATCACGAGAACAGCTTGAGGAAAACTGGGCCCCACGATTCAATTACCTCCACCTGGTCCAGCCCAGGAAGCCACGTGGAAGGGTTTGATGACTGGATGGCAAGGGAGGGAGAGGCAGGTCTTGAGAGCAGTTTAAAGAAAGTGGGCCGTGAGAGGGAAAAGAGAAGCTCGTGATTCAACACAGCTGTGGGAATAGAGATCATTTTTCAAGTTGGGAGACACTTGAGAAGGTCCGGATTAGGGGTGGCCAATTTTTTGCCTTCCCTGGGCCACATTGGAAGAATAAGAACTGTCTTGAGGCTAAGCGAGGTGGCTCACACCTGTAATCCCAGTACTTTGGGAGACTGAGGCAGGTGGATCACCCAAGGTCAGGAGTTCAAGACCAGCCTGGCCAACATGGAGAAACCCTGTCTCTACTAAAAATAAAAATAAAAAATTATACAACTTAGCCAGATATGATGGTGCACGCCTGTAATCCCAGCTACTTGGAAGGCTGAGGCAGGAGAATCACTTGAACCCGGGAGGTGGAGGTTGCAGTGAGCTGAGATCGTGCCATTGCATTCCAGCCTGGACAACAGAGTAAGACTCCATCTCAAAAAAAAAAAAAAAAAGCAACTGTCTTGAGCCACACATAAATAAGCTAATGTAACAATAGCTGATGAACTAAAATATATATAGCAAAAACAATCTCATAATGTTTTAAGAAAATTTATGAATTTGTATTGAGTTACTGCATTTAAAGCTGTTCTGGGGTGCATGCAGCCCACTGGCTGCGGGTTGGATAAGCTTTGTCTATTTTCTGATCAGGAGAATCCAAGAGAATTCTCAAAAAATCAAGAGGCATGAGAAAAACTAGCATATCAGTGGGATTTTAATTTGTATATCCGTGATGTCTAATGCATTCATCACATTTCTCCAAAGAAAGAACCAAGAGGAGAGGTGGATAGAGATGATATTGATATGCAAAGCGATTCAGTAGCGAAACTGGCACCTGCAGCCGTAGAAGCTTAGTTACAAAATCTGCAGTCAGGCAAGCTAGATACTCAGGTAAGCTAATGGTGATGGTCTAGTCCAAATGCCAGCTGGCTTGAGACCCAGGCAGAGCCAATGTTTCCATTACAGTCCAAAAGCAGGGGGAAAAAAAACAAACCTGATGCCCCAGCTTGAAGACAGGCAGGAGGAACTCCCCTACTCACAGAAGGGCCAGGCTTTTTGTTCTATTCAAGCTTTCAATTGATTGGGTGAGACCCACCCTCATGAGGAAGAGCAATCTGCTTTACTCTGTCTACCCAAATTCAAATACCAGTCTCATTCAGAAATAGGCACACCCAGAATAGTGTTTGACCACATGTCTGGGCACAAGTTGACATGTAAAATTAACCATCACAGCTAGTATGGTTGGAAATGCTTTCCTATGCTTAGGAGATATTTGTTTTTATTATTCAGTGAATCATAGGGTTTTTATCCTCTGTCCGTTCCACTACGTCCTTGTGATTTTCTTTATCAACTTATAGAGATTTACCTTTTGCTGTCATGTATGTCAAAAAGGTTTGGTCAGCTTGTCTTTCAGTCTTTTTTTTTTTTTTGAGACAGAGTCTCGCTCTGTTGCCCAGGATGGAGTGCAGTGGTGCCAACATGGCTCACTGCAGCCTCAATCTCCTAGGCCCAAGCGATCCTCCTATCTTACCCACCTAAGTAGCTAGGACCACAAGCTTATGCCACCATGTCTGGCTAATTTTTTCTTATTAGTTTTTGTAGAGACAGAGTCTTGCCATGTTGCCTAGGCTGCTGTCAGACTCCTGGGCTCAAGCAGTCCTCCTGCCTCAGCCTCCCAAAGTGCTGAGATTGCAGGCATGAGCCACCATGCCCAACCTCTTTTGGCTTCTAGGTGGGGGATATGTCTTGAGATGCAGGCATGTAAATGTGTTGGAAGCTAAATCAGCTGGTCTTTATTCTTAGTGGTTCTATCCAAAGTCACGAATAAAGGCCTCCTTATCTGGAGATCAAATGCTTTTTTAATACTGTCTTCTAGGCTTTTATTGTTTAATTTTTTAGTTTCAAATGTTTCACCCATCTAGTTTTTATTTTTTGGACTCTCAAATGAGATAACTTTCTAAATTGTTTTCCAAACAGCCAGATTTACAGATAGCATTTACTGAATAATCCATCCCTCTTCTGTTGATATATGATCCTTCATTTTTCATGAACTGAGTTCTATTTAGGACTATCTATTTCATTCCATTGATTTGTCTGTCTAGTCATACGCCACTAACATGCTGGTTTTATTATTGTAGCTTTATAATGCATTTTAATACCTGGAAAGGCAAGCCTTCCTTCACATCAATTTAGCTCTTCTCCTCTTGGTTGGATTGGGTTGTTGTTTTTTCTTTTCCCATGTGCTTGAATCGGTTTTATCCCTTTTTCCACTGACATCGGAGATGTGACCTTGACATTCATAGAGGGTTGTGTTTTGTGCCAACATCAAGGGGATTCTTGGCTTCCCTAAGATGGTCCCTAACCTGGTTACCCTCCTGGCTGTGAGCTGCTGGAGTTAGATTCACACTGACCCACAGAGAAACACTGGCTAAGAAAGAGGAGACAGGACTGTGTGTTCCTTCCCCCCAACTACTTTAGTGTTTCTGCTAAATAAAAGTCCATTTTTATTCTTATAGGAGCTGAGCAGGGAGATGTTTTACACCCCAGTTTTCACCCGCCATGATCTATGTCCCTTTTACAAACTTATCTCTGGGTTTTTGCTCAGTTTATAAGCTAGGGGCGATCTTTCTTCCCTAAAGCCTCCTTCCTCCACAGTCTGGAGGAACCTTGAGATTTCCTGCTGATGATTTAAAGGGCTATAACACTCGCAGGCTAGATTTGTTTTAGTGTCCATAAAACTCAAAAATTTCATAAAACAATTGGTGAAAATAAAATTACCAAAAAATGATATAGTGCCAGCAGACTGTATAATAGTTACGGGAGAAATGGAGACCATGATTCACCAGGGGATAAAAATGACAACGTATTTATTGCAGCGCGCTGACAAGAAACTAATTTGTCCCTTTTACTTTTGAGACAGAGAAAGAATTCCGATTTTTCTCCTCTTGCGCTGACTCTGACAGGGGAGCAGGAGGTGATGCCAAATGATTCTCCGCTTTGTGGCTTGTGTGCGTGTGTGTTCATGTGTGCACTAACATGATGGGTTTCAGTGAAAGCACAACTGTGTTCTGTCTCACCGTGGCCTAGATCTTTTTGAGCCTTGAAAAAGTCTCTATAACCTATATTTGTGTGCATATATGTAAGTTTGTGTAATGCCTATATGTGTGTGAGTGTAAATGTCCATATGTGAGAGGGTTGTGTATGTACGTATGCACACATATGTGCACGCATCTGTGTTTGTGTTCATGTATTTTATCTGGCCATTATTGACAATAGTTGAAGAAGATAGGTTATAGGAAAATGAATATTGTTTTACCAAGGAGATGTGTGCTCTCCTAGTGTAAAACACGGCTGGGTGTGGTGGCTTACCCCTGTAATCCCAGCACCTTGGGAGACTGAGGTGGGAGGCTCACTTGAGCCCAGGAGTTCAAGACCAGCCTGGGCAACATAGCAAGACCTCCTTTTCACAAAAATTTAAAACTTAGCCAGCAGTGGTGCACACCCATAGTCCCCGTTACTCCAGAAGCTGATGCAGAAGAATTGCTTGAGTCTGGGAGGTCAATGCTGCAGTGAGCTGTGATCACACCTCTGCACTCCAGCCTGGGCAGCAGAGCAAGACCCCATCTCAAAAACAAGAAAGAAAGAAAGGGAAAGTAAGGGAAGGAAGGGAAAAGAAAAGGGGCACAAAAGGCAAAATGAAAATTTCAACTGAGAGATAGTGATGGAAATTGGATCAGAGGTGGCTTGATGGTGAGGGGGTGGGTAGGAGGTGACTCCAGTGAAACTGCAGAGAACTTTCCAGAGTCATGGAAGTGGTCTCTGTCTTCATTGGGGTACAGATTACACAGGTGTAAACATTTGTCAAAGGTGGTTGATCTACAAATCTAAAATATAAAAATTTTATTTTATGTAAATTATACCACAATAAAGTCAATTTTGTAAAAAACCTTTATGCAGAAGGAAAAGAGGAAAGGGAGGGAAGTTGCTTCTGACCTGAAGGGTAAGGGTGGAACCCAGCCTGTGGCATGCTGTGAAGCCCAGAGGGCAGTTCCTGAATGCATGAACAAATGAATGAATAAAACTGGGGCCAAACTTAATTCTCCCCAAAGACAGAGTCCACTGTTCAGGATGAACTAAGCCATGGAGAGTGGCCTTAGGGGAGGTCTTACTATATCAACTTTACAGATGAGGCAATTGAGCCTTAGAAAGCTTACCTGACGGCTAGGCACAGTGGCTCTCGCCTGCAATCCCAGCACTTTGGGAGGCCAAGGTGGGTGGATCACCTGAGGTTGGGAGTTTGAGACCAGCCTAAACAACATGGAGAAACCCCGTCTCTACTGAAAACACAAAATTAGCTGGGCATGGTGGCACATGCCTGTAATCCCAGCTACTCAAGAGGCTGAGGCAGGAGAATCGCTTAAACCCCGGAGGCAGAGGTTGTGGTGAGCCGAGATCATGCCATTGCGCTCCAGCCTAGGCAACAAGAGTGAAACTCCATCTCAAAAAAAAAGAAAGAGAGAAAGAAAGCCCACCTGACTTGACTTGCTACGGGTCACACTATGAATGAGAGGCAATGAAAGAAACTGACCCAGACTCAGTTAACTGACCAAATTCATCGCAGCATTGAAGGAGGGTAGGATCCACTTAGGATAACCCTGCAGGCTGCTCTGAGTCTAATCTGGACACAAAGCCTTAAACAGACCTGGTAGTGGCCA